TCCGACTCTCGGTGCAGTACTTCCCCACTGGGATTAGTACACCTGAAGCAGTCCATAAACTGGGAGAGCCTTACTCTGGAAGGTGGGTTCAGAAAGGTGGTGGCGAGGGAGGCATCTGCACTTATGGGCACTTCCCAGCCTGTGAATTCTCTCCTTATCAGCAGGAAAGTGGGCGATCTGCTGGTGCTCTTTGCACACACTCTGGCTTTCAGTGGTGCCTTTGTAAATCACAGAACATCCCAGCTGCAGAAGAAACCCAGAGATCACCTAACCCAACAACCTAATTTTATAAATGAGAAAATTGAGGTCACTCACCCCTCTAGGCTGCCTCAGATGTTCTTTCTAAACAGAACATGCTCACCGTGCCTGCACACAGATTACTGGACAAGATAAAAGTGGGTAATTTGTCATAAATGTTTAAGTAGAGCACTTTCAAGAAGGATTTAAACAATGGTGGAAAACACAGCAAAACAACTTAGATGACAATAACAATAAAGTGCCCTAGAAACAATTTTATTGTCTAGTGAACTGTGGAGAAAGCACTTTTGCATTCCTTAAAGCGCTGTTAGGCATTAACTCATTAATCCTCAAAGTAGTGCAAAAATCTTATTCAGAAACACTTACTCTTCTAAATCCACTGAAGGTCAAGAGAAAGAAAGAATATTACCATGTGTATCTATGTTTGAAAAACAACTAAGTAAAGTAGACCAGCAAAAAAAAAAAAAAAAAAGAGTACAGATGGATTGAGCCTGTGTAACCTGTGTAGGTGGTAGAACAAAATGATCTAGCCTCAGCCTGCACCTTCCCCCTTAAGGTTTCCATATTTAACAAATAAAAAATAAGGATACATAGTTTGATTTGAATATCAAGCAAACCAGTAATAAGTTTAATTGAAATAAATATTCCCTATAAAGTATTTGGAGGATAGTTCCTCCAAATCGTATTATTCATTGTTGTCTGCAGTTCTAATGGAACTTGGCATCCTGTATTTTATGTGGTGGGGTAGTTCCTTCCCCAGTCCATCATAGAGCAATACTGGCAATGGTGAGATGGAAGTACATAGCTAGAAGAAGGCCCTGCTAAAGGAGCCGCCCCACTGAGTTGGACAGTTGGTCTACTCCCTCTTTATTTTTTTTGTAATTTTTATTTATTCGATAGGCAGAGTTACAGAAAGAGATAGCTCTTCCATCCACTGGTTCACTCCCCAAAGGCTGCAATGGCCAGGACTGAGCCAGACCAAAGTCAGGAGCCAGGAGCTTTTTCCAGGACTCCCATGTGGGAGCAGAGCCTGAGCACTTGAGCCATCTTCCACTTCTTTCTCAGGTGCATTAGCAGAGAACTGGATTGGAAGTGGAGTAACTGTGACTTGAAGCAGTACCTGTATGGGATGCCAGCATCACTGGTAGCTGCTTTACCCACTACCCCAGAACATTGTCTCCATACTCCCTCTTTAATTGAGATCAGTCCATAGGTCATGTTCTTGGGTGGCATGACAATATCAGACTCCTATAAAAGTTTCCAAACACTCTCTAGTTCTGCATATCTGATATTGATGATCAGTTTTAAAAAATGATGCAAGCTGGCATTAGTCCATGGAGTACTTTCTTAAAGCACTGGGCAGGAAAGAAGGGAGCTCCATCCTGTCCTAGCTCTCTTTCCAAGTGAGAAAGTCTGGCTAGGGGATGAACTTTTCTCAGTGTCTGATTGTCTCTAAAATATCAATAATTGTACCTGATACAAAGTCCCTACATGTGAAGACCCAAGTATCAAAGGTACTTGAGACAGTGGTAAAGAGGGAGAGAGAAACAGACAGACGGAGAGGCAGGGGTAAATATTTGATTTTACAGGGAAATATCAATGTAATAATAATGAAAAAATTCAGAACTTGTTATATAGATACTCTGATACACACCATATTACTTATGAATGTTTTCCTTCTACAAGCCATGTGAGAATGGGGGAAATATTGAGTACCTTCAATTTTGAGAGCTGAATGATTTCAAAGACGTTAAACTGGCCCTGATCATGTTTATTGCTGACTTGACATTATTGGTTGCAAGATTACGAAGAATTCTGTGAAATGTTAAATGACTCATCAGTGTTTGTTGTGAAAATTGCTATGGAAAGAAAAATATCAATTTGTTAACATATACACACAGAGTTTCCAGAGCTAGTGACACTGTGGACATCTTATACCCTTGTACCCTTGTACACTCAAATGTGCTAGAATACAATGACAACGAATTCAGTCTCTGGAACCAGGGAATAGTCTTTGCCACTTGGCAGATGCATGACCTTGAACAACTTTCTTAGCCTTTTAAATATTCAGTTTCCTCACGTGTAAAGATAATATTAGAATATCTCTCTTATGTAATTAGTGTGGAAGATTGGCTGAAGTAATCTATATAAAACATTCAGTTCATAATAATTTCTGAAAAAATATTATCAAAAGTTTGTTATGTATAACAAACAAGTAATGAGCATAATAATTGCTTTATATTTATGGAGGATAACGCAGAAGCATGTAACTAAAGCATCAAAATGTGAATACCACAGATTGCCTGCAGGGATGATTAGCATAATGGCAACAATTAGGAAGAACCCAAATGTCCAATATCAGAGTTTTTCCCAATAAATTATACATGCACACATGCACTTGGATGTATAATTAAAATTTAAGATGATGTATATGAACATAAAATCTTCATCTTAATTTCAGTTATCTCTAGAGAACATTTCTTCTTTTTCCTTTCTAATTTTTCTACAATGGTAGTATGTTACTTGGGTGGTGAAATTTCCTTAGAAAGTACTAAAATTATGGCTTCTTTTCTTCTCCCACGGAGATTGTGTTCTTGGTCATTCCTGCCCTTAGCCTGTCACAGCCATTTCAAAGGTGACACTTTCCTTCTGATGATCAGAATTTCCCCCCTGGAAATGGTCATTAAATCCTCCTCTTTGTGGGTAGGGGGTGTCAAGGTCCTACTAAGTGTTTTGATGAAAACGTCTGACTTGCTTTGTCCTAAGGGTGATCCAAGATGGATCTTATCTGAGTTGACTGATGTTGGATAACATTGGGAATAAGTCAAAATCATAGCACAGGTGACAACAGAGTGAAGTTCAAGGAACAATGCAAATGTGTTATGGAAGCAGTAAAGCAACTGAAGTTGGCGGAAAAACAGCCTGAAGTGCTGGTGAAATCAAGGGGGAGCCATTGTGTGTATGACACGGATCTCTTTTTTCCCTGTGGTTCCAAGCCCAGAATGGTACAAAGGCACAACAGCTTCAGGGGTCATATTCCACTGGATAATAGGTATGAATCCTTGAGACTATGGAGAGATAACTTCTTGAAATTAATCAAGGTCCTTCTTCTATTACATTTCCTCATACAAAACCTTCCCTTTATTCATCCAGAGACATCCACTGCTGGGGAAGATTGATATAATTGTAATAAAAATGCAAAGAACAGTTGGTGCTCATATTTTGAGTTCCAAGAAGGGTTCTTGATGTCCCCTTTCAGAAGCAAAAATTATGAAAGCCAAAGCTTGAAGCTTTTTATTTTAAAGGAAAGAGAGGTTTTTGTAAATCAAAAGGCAAAGCCCTAAAGGAGCTGAGTACAAAATATCTCCATCAACAAAAGACTGGAAAGAGAATAGAAATGGCATTAGTTTCCTGCTATAAGGACTGGGTTATTGAGGATATCTCTCCTGCTAAAAGCACATGAAAATATTATGTAAATTTAAATTTTCTAATATGTAGCTGAGCTGGGAAAAAAATAAAGTGTACTTTCCAACATTCAGAAACAAAGTGAGAACTCAAAATCAGACAAGCATCAAAGACAAAACGCACCAGAAAAGAAGAGGATTTTATTCAGTCTATTGCAATACAGAGAGTGTTTATTAATGAGGAATATAAAAAAAAGAAAAGAGAAGAAAGGAGGCCTAGGGATTTTTAGCAGCAAGTAAGCAAAGGACTTATTCCTGAATATCTTAGTCCATTTTTTTGCTGTTGTCATAGCATACCTGAGACTGAGCAATCTATAAAAAAGAAAATTGGAAACTTTTCCCTTTCAGTTCTGAAGGCTGAGTAGTGCAAGACCAGGGTTGCAGTATCTGATGTGCTTTCTTACTGCATCCTCACACTGTGGAAGGTAGAAGTTCAGGAGAGGAGGAATGCTGCTTCCTTACACTTCAGAAAAGCCAGAGAAAGAGCCCACTCCCATGAGCCCTTCATATAATGCTATTAATTCATTAATTAATACCTCCTATTTAGGTTCCACCTCCCAATACCATTGCACTGGGGATTATGTTTCGACACAGAAATTTGGGAGGATACATTCAGACCACAATTTTGAGTCAGGGAGCCATGGGGAAGGGTGCAACATGGTCTTATTTGAATCAATGAGGAGAGGTGGGGATATCTTGAAATAGTTGGCACCTGGTAGTTGTTTGCTATTAGCTAGTTAAAGTTATCCTTTCTCTCAGAAAACAAAACGGTCAGTGATTTCTTAACTGTCATTGGTTTCTGGGCTATAGTAAAGTCAATATTAGCAGCACTTAATTTCTGAAGCAGTCAAAGCATATACAACAGTGAGTGTTTAGACTAGCGGTTACAATGCTGATTAAGATTCCCAGCTCATATTGGAATACCTGGGTGATATACTCAGCTCTGACTCCTGACTCCATGCTCCTGCTCTCCCTCTCAAGTAAATAAATAAAACTTGAAAAAAGCAATTATAAACTTCCTGATTGGCTGAAATAGGATCTAAGAAATAGTCTCAGATTATTGGTTTTGTTCGTGTAAATCTGAAACAGTTTTGACAGGTGATAGCAAAGGTCAGTTGCTTTAGGAACATGACATCTTAAAAAAGGATGCCTCAAAGGGATAGGAGAAATATAAATACAAATGATTGAATGAAAGCAGAGAGTTCAACTCTAAAGGTAATGTCAAGTAGATCCCAAAAAGCCAGTAGAAGAAAATCTTAGTTCTGCAGCAGTACTCACCAAGTTTCTGGAAGCTTTCAATCTAGGATGTTCACAGTCTTGGCGATGAGCCTTGGTTACCTTTCCTATAAGGGCATGAATGACCCAAACACATCACTGGACTTGCCTGGCCAAACAGTGACTTATTCAGGGACACATTTGTCCCACACCTGGTTTGCTGCAGTAGGGAGGTTTCTATCAGTTCATGAGGCTTCACAGAAATTCTTCAGATCCTAAAGAAGAGAATCACCTGCAGGCCCACCTAGAATCACAAGAGGAATTTGGGAATTCAGGTTTTAGTCCTTGTCTACAATGACAGCAAGGGAAGGAGGGAAGTTGGAAACATTAGTTTGGCATATTAATTAGATATTGAATAAGAATGGAAAAACTGAAAATTTGGCTAGCATCAACAATGTAGGCCAGGTAATAAGATCAAGTTCAATTTGGATGTTGGAACAAAACAGTTTTCCACAAAGGGGGATGGAAGATAATCTTTATCAGACAAGATAAAAGACAGATTATATATCCACTAGCTACCACAATTTGAAGAGTTGCAAAATAGCTCAAAATAACAAATAGAGCAGAATACGACAACCTGAAAAGTTGACATTGTTACAGACAAAAGCTTCCCATCAAAATCCAAAATCTTTCTCTGCAGCTAAGGTTATTCTAATCAAAACCAATATCAACTAGAACACAATAGGAAACCTAGAACTAAACTCACGCATCTACAACCAGCTGATCTTTAGCAAAGGTGCTAAGAACATGCACAGAGGAAAGGACAGTGTCTTCCATGATGGTGCTGGGAAAAAATGGATATACACCTGCAAAAGAATGAAACTTGATCCCTAGTCTCACTATATACAAAATCAACTCAAATGGATTAAATAAAGAAATGTAAGCCATCAAAATGCTGGAAGAAATCATAGGTGAGGAGTCCTCCAAGATGGCAGAATAGGGAGGGAGCGCACTGATAGTCTGGGAAAAGATAGTTTAATGAAAGTGAAAATACTGTAGTTTCTGGGAAGAGTTAGGGAAAAAAAAACTGCAGAGGAAACTCTTCCAGAACTAGTGGGACATGGTGGACCTACGTGGAGGGCACGAGTGCCCACGGCTCGGGACCCCAGCCGCCGAGTCTACACACCAGCACTGGAAAAGAAGGTGAGGCAAAGCCTCAGTAGCCTGAGACACTGACGGGAAAAGTGGCAGGAAGAGCCTAGAAGGAATGAGGCTTGAAACCCCGTGGGGGAAAGTTCACCAAGCTAACTAGAGGAGATAGATAGATAGATAGATAGATAGATAGATAGATAGATAGATAAATGGGACTGGTAAGGATACAATTCTCTCTCCGCTCACCTTACAAAGGCAAGCAAGACAAAGAGCAGGCGCTATTTTGGACATACATAACAGCTGAGCCACCTCAGGGCTGCACCCACCCTCAGCCAAGCAGAAAAACCTGACTCTGGTGGGGAGAAATAACAGGAGGTTAAGACCTAGTGAATGGGTAAAGCTAATGAACTGAGACTGTGAAAAAAAAAAAAACTGAAGGTGTATGAAAGAACTCACAGAGTGCCTAAGATGTGAGTACTCGGTAGGAGACGCCACAATCAGTAACCTTGGCAACCCAGTGGGAGATTGCAGGGGAATCTGAGCTTACACTGAGGACTGCACAGATCCTTTGTGTGGTCCTTGGGACAAAGCAGACAAACATTATACACACAGGGGCCAGGGCTCACTGACTGCCTTCAAGGAGAATAGCTCAGCTGTGTGGAATTACTTCCTTTCTGAATAAAAAAAGAGAGAGAGAGAGAGTAGATTTACCACACCAAACATGGGTGTGTCACCTTTGGCACACCCTTAACCCTGAAGAACTGAACAGAGCTCTCTGGCCACATGCATCACAAGCTTCTAAAGATCCACCAAAAGCAGACAGTCCACTTAATCTAGAGTGATAGTATAACGAGAAAAGCCACCACAGTGAGGGAAAAAAAGAAGAAGAAACAAAAGAATATCTCCACAATGCCAAGCAACAAATGCAGAAACCAAGGAAACAAGAACAAGGAAGACATTATGACGCCCCCAAATGAACAAGACACCACAAGCCAAGATTATGAAGATGATGAGATAGAAGAAATGCAAGATACGGATTTCAAAATTTTTATGATAAGAGCATATAGAAGCTCTCAAAAACAAATTCTTGAACTGCAGAAATCCTCACTGGACAGGATAGAAAATCTCTCTCATGAAAATGAAATAATAAGTGTGGGGAGCAATCCGGGCTGGACTGAGTTACTGGAATTAGGACTTATTCTATGCATCTGCTCTCCCACAATATGGCGCTGGGAGAGAAGTAAACAGCTTCCGCACAGCTGCCTCCAGTTCAACTAATAAACTGTAGGACTTGCTCCTGATTGGAGGAGAGCAGCGTACTCGGCGTGTGGGCAGCCGAGTTGGGATTGGCGGAGGAGGACTATAAAGGAGGAGAGAGACGGCATGCACCAGGAACATCTAAGGGGAACATCTAGCTGAGGGAACACCTGTGCAGCCCCCGAGAAGAGCCGGCCGGCGGTGTGCCGCTCCCCTGCGGAAGTGGGGAATGTGGCCAGGGGGAACTGCCCTTCCACGGAGGTGGAAGGGATAGTAGCCAACCCGGGAAGAACCAGCAGCAAACCCGGGGAGGGCCGAGCAGACAGAAAGAACAGCGCAGGGTCTTGTGTTGCTCCTCCACGAAGAGGGGGAGCGACATAATGGTGCCGTGACTCGGATAGGAAACTTAACTCGGATAGGAAACCTAGAACGGATAGCAAACTTAGGAGGGAAGAAACGGGAAGAACTGGGAAAATACTGGAGAGAGAGACTAGCAAACAGCCTAGGGAAAAGCCGGACGAAAAGGGTGCCGGAAGAAGCTATTGAAAGCCTAGGCATAGACTCAGATACGGACTACGGGGGGAAGCTGGGAGAAATCTCTAAGGTCGAAAGCGAAAGTGAAAGCTAGAACAAACAGACTCGGACGCGGACTGTGGGGAGAGGCCAGGAGAAATGAGGGAGGAGTATTGTTGGAGGAAAGCTTGGGGAAACATACCGGGTAGAGAAAAATGTTAGGGAAATTGAAGCCGCGGGGGGCAGGCCGAGGCGGATACGAAAGCCACTTTGGGATTCTCAAGTTAGCCCGGGAATGGGGGGCGAAAAGTTGAAACCAGAAGCTGAAACGCAAGCCAGATTGGGATCCGTCTGATTAGCCCGGGGAGCAAAGGACGGGAAGCCAAACCGTGGGGCGGAGACGTATGCTGGGTTGAATTCGCCAGGCTAGCCCGGGGAACTTAGATTGAATGCTAGTGGCGGACACGTAAGCTACGCTGTGTTACTCGCGGAAGCCGCCGCGTGCAGAGAGAGCACGGGGCGTGAATAGATAGGGAACGGGGCTGGCGCGAGGCCGTGGTGCAGACGCGAAGGGCGTGGAGACCGCGGAGCGCGGGAAGCCAAGCCGCGCAAAGCCGGGAAGCTGCGCAGATGAAAGAGGCGCGGGCTGAAGCGGCTCAGCTGGAAAGCCCCGGAGAAATAGCCTCGGGGCGGAGCCTGCCGGCAGGGCGAGGCGCCGGGAAGCTGCGGGGATAAGAGAAACAGAAGTTTTAGAAGTAAAGTGAGAGAAATAGGAATGCTGGAAGATAGAAGTGGAATGGGAGAAATAGGAATGCCCGGAGATAGAGAAATAGAGAAATAGAAAGGCCTCCCCTCAACATGGCAATTAGAAGGCTTGGATTCGGTCTGCCCGATTAGTGAGGCGATGAGCACCTGGGCGGCTAGCAGCTTATGCGCCGCAGGTCACCGAAGACAGGCACGAATTAACATCAGTAAGGCCTCCCCACAAAAAGGCAATGAGAAGGCTTGGATTCGGTTTGCCTGATTGCTAGGTTTTGCAAGCCCCTGCAGGCAGAGCAGAGCATGCGCTGCAGGGCACCGAATACAGGCACGCATCAGCGCCTAAAAACCTCCTCACAACATGGCGAAGAGAGGACCCGGATTCGGTTTGCCTGATAGGACTTGTAAGAGCCTGTGGCAACTCTAGCAAGTACAGCAGAGTGTGTGCCGCGGGACACCGAAGACAGGCGCGTATCAACGCCAAAAATAAAAAGAAAGGGGGATCTGTGGGGAGCAATCCGGACTGGACTGAGTTACTGGAATTAGGACTTATTCTATGCATCTGCTCTCCCACAATATGGCGCTGGGAGAGAAGTAAACAGCTTCCGCACAGCTGCCTCCAGTTCAACTAATAAACTGTAGGACTTGCTCCTGATTGGAGGAGAGCAGCGTACTCGGCGTGTGGGCAGCCGAGTTGGGATTGGCGGAGGAGGACTATAAAGGAGGAGAGAGACGGCATGCACCAGGAACATCTAAGGGGAACATCTAGCTGAGGGAACACCTGTGCAGCCCCCGAGAAGAGCCGGCCGGCGGTGTGCCGCTCCCCTGCGGAAGTGGGGAATGTGGCCAGGGGGAACTGCCCTTCCACGGAGGTGGAAGGGATAGTAGCCAACCCGGGAAGAACCAGCAGCAAACCCGGGGAGGGCCGAGCAGACGAAAGAACAGCGCAGGGTCCTGTGTCATTCCTCCACGAAGAGGGGGAGCGACAATAAGGAGGAATCAAAATGAAATGAAGAATCTAGTAGAACAGAAAAGGGTGATAGTGAAGAGAAATCAAAATGAAATGAAGAATTCAATAGATAAAATGACAAATGCATTTGAGAGCCTTAAAAACAGAATCAGTGAAACAGAAGAGAGAATATCGAACTTAGAAGACAGAGCATAGGAAAGTATACAGTCAAACCAAAGACAAGAAGAGGAAATTAGAAATCTAAAAAATACTGTTGGGAATCTACAGGATACTATTAAAAAAAACAACATTCAGGTTCTAGGAGTTCCTGAAGGCATGGAGATAGAGAAAGTATTAGAAGGCCTTTTTAGTGAGATACAAGCAGAAAACTTGCTGGGTTTGGAGAAGGACAGAGATATCCAAGTATAGGGAGCTCATAGAACCCCTAATAAATGTGACCAAAAGAGATCCTCACCACGTCACATTGTAATCAAACTCACCGCAGTGAAACGTAAATAAAAGATCCTAAAATGTACAAGAGAGAAACATCAGATTACTCTCAGAGGATCTCCAATTACACTCACAATAGACTTCTCATCAGAAACCCTGCAGGTAGGAGGGAATAGCAAGACATATCCTAGGTACTAAGAGAGAAAAACTGCCAGCCCAGAATA